CTCTCTCTCTCTCTCTCTCTTTCTATATATATATATATATGTATATATATTGGGATGCATCAGCAACCACCTCAAGTGCAACCAGCATTCCCCAAATTTGAAAAACAATTTTTAAAAAATAGAAACACCAAAAACAGAATAAATAAGAAAAATACAGAAATAGAAAGCAAAGAATGAATTGAACCCCCAATCCAAACCAAAAACCAAACCCATCTAAACATACTCACATATATGCAAACTCCATAACCAAAAACCCAAACCCAGAACCCAAAATTAGAAATTGAAGGGCTAATCATGTGCAGCCCAAAGAGCAACAATCAAGCAATAGAAAGAAACAAGAAACACACCCAATTGCTGCAGAACATCACTACCTATTACACTTATTCTGAATAGCAACCCAGATCTTAGAGGAGAAAGCACATCTAAAAAATAGATGGGAATGGCTTTCCTCAGGATCATTACACAACGGACAACTAGCATGAGGAATAAGGCCAAAACCCTAAAGTCTATCCCTAGTATTCAACCTCTCATGTATAGCCAACCAAACAATGAAACTAACTCTAGGGATGAAAGGAGGCCCCCAAAGCAGTTTATTCCAAGGGACTTTACGACCCTTATCTCTCCAACAGTCCCAAGTAAACTGAATAGAGAAACTGCCATCACCATCACCCGTAAGGCACCACAAAGGACTATCCTGAGAACTATCCATCGGTTTAAAGGAAGGAGGGGTAGAATCAATCCACTCCTTGATTTCCCAGGAGTTAGGGAAGGGCCAACTCCATGCACCATGAGAAATGATGGAGCTAACTTTAGAATTAAGATCAAGACCAGCGTCATAGACAATCCTAGGCCCAAACCTACTCCATAAAGAACCAAGAGGATGCCAATTATCAAACCACAGAAATACCTTCTCCCCATTACCAATCATAAATTTGATAAGAGGGAAGATATTCTTTCTAAGAGACAGAATTTTCCTCCAGACCCATGAGGGGTCACTAGGCATTTTAACATACCAAAAACTCTTACCTTTGAGTAAGTAGGACTTAACCCATTGGCACCACATAGACCCTTCCCCCCCAGAGAAGAAAAACCAAACATGCTTAGCAACAGCCGCCCTATTCCAAACACCTATCTCTTTAAACCCTAGGCCCCCTTCACCTTTAGGCTTACAAACATTGTTCCAAGCAATCTTAGCACTATGCATCTTCAACTCAACACCAGACCAGAGAAAGGATCTCAAAATGCTATCAATCTCTCTAATCACCTTTTTAGGGAGGATAAAAAGAGAAGACCGATAAACTTGCATTGAAAAAAGGATAGTCTAGATAAGTTGAGCTCTACCTGCGTAAGAAAGAAGTTTATTAGTCCAGCTCTTAATCCTCTTAATGATCCTCTCAATCAGAATTTGACAATCAGTAGCCTTAAGCTTCGTGGTGATCAAAGGCACACCCAAGTATTTCACCGGAAGGGTGCCCTCAGAAAATAGGGAGGTAGACTTCAGTATTGAGCTGCAACCTGGAACTACCCCAATATCCATGGCTCCGTAACGCATGGCACCAGCAGAACTACGAGAATTAAAGACACAACTATAGGAGTTGCTTGAAAAAGGATTCATTAGGCCAAGTACTTCACCATGGGGAGCACCTGTGTTGTTTGCTAAAAAGAAGGATGGGTCGTTAAGACTATGCATCGATTACCGTCAACTCAATCGAGTCACAATTAAGAACCAATACCCACTTCCAAGGATTGATGACCTTTTTTGACCAACTTAGAGGCTCAAGGTGCTATTCAAAGATCGATCTCAGTCAGGTTACCATCAACTATGAGTCAAAGAGGAGGATATACCAAAAACTGCCTTTCGTACTAGATATGGCCACTATGAGTTTGTAGTAATGCCCTTCGGACTAACCAATGCACTGGCAGTATTCATGAGCCCAATGAATAAGATTTTTAGATCATATCTTGACCAGTTTGTAGTAGTGTTCATTGATGACATTTTGGTATATTCAAGGTCTGAAGAAGAGCATAGGCAACATTTAAGGATTGTCCTTCAAGTTCTTAGGGATAATCAGTTATATGCCAGGGCAAGTAAATGTGAGTTCTGGTTGAATGAAGTGAAATTCTTAGGGCATGTAGTGTTGGAGAATGGGATTGCGGTGGATCCAACCAATGTGGAGGCAGTATTAGATTGGAGACAACCGAAAACTATGTCAGAAATCCGTAGTTTCTTAGGATTGGCTGGTTATTACCGGAGGTTCATCCAAGATTTCTCTAAACTAGCTAAACCAATGACTCGTTTGATGCAAAAAGGAGTAAAGTATGGGTGGGACGAAGCTTGCGAAAAATCCTTCCAAGAGCTAAAGAAGAGATTAACTAGTGCGCCAATTTTGACCATTCCAGAACGAGAAGTCGAGTACACTGTGTATTGCGATGCGTCTAACGAAGGGTTAGGGTGTGTGCTAATGCAAAATGGAAAGGTAGTCGCGTATGGATCTAGGTAGTTGAAACCACATGAGCGTAACTACCCAACACATGACTTGGAATTAACAGTCGTAGTTTTTTCCCTAAAACAATGGCGACATTACCTATATGGTGAACAATTTGAGATTTTCACAGATCACAAGAGTTTGAAGTATCTGTTTACATAGAAGGACCTTAACTTGAGACAGAGGCGATGGATGGAGTATCTTGAGGATTTCCAGTTCACTCTCTCATATCATCCCGGTAAAGCCAATGTAGTAGCGGATGCTCTAAGTCACAAGAGTAGTGAGATGATGGCTAAGATTTCCGTCAAAGAATGAGATATGGTTAAGACACTCACTGAATTCAGAATCCAAGAAGAATCTCAAGGTACAAAGGCATACCTTAGTGCACAGAAGGTGATGCCTAAGTTGATGAGTGAGATCATGGAGGCCCAGAAGCACGATCAAGAAGTAGCCTATGTCAAGGGACGTCTGGAATCAGGAGAACCAATGCCCGATTGGGTAATTCACCCCGATGGGAGTTTAAGATACCAAGGTAGATTGTTTGTACCAAACGACGAGTTGCTTAGAGAAAAGGTACTTAAGGAATGTCATCATTCCGCATTTGCAGTAAATCCAGGAGGGACTAAAATGTACCAAGATTTGAAGAGGCAGTATTGCTGGAATGGAATGAAGAAGGAGGTGGCTAAATTTGTAGCAAAATGTCTAACATACCAACCAGCGAAGGCGGAATATCAAAAACCAGGGGGAATGTTGCAACCTCTACCAATAGCCAAATGGAAACGGAAGTACGTGACGATGGACTTTGTGATAGGGTTGCCTCAGACACCTAGAGGGCGCGATGCTATATGGGTAATAGTGGATTGCCTCACTAAGTCAGCACATTTCTTACCCGATAAGTGTAGACCGCCCGAACGTCACGGCCCCGCCCGCGAGTTGGGTGTGAAATCCGTTTTGTTCATTAGCTTACTACAATTCGGACTCAACGTCACAGTTTTGAATATAATCTCACAAAGTGCAATTCAAGACCGATAAATCACCAATAGTCCAAATCCGGCAAATCGTTTTGAAAAACTGATTTTTATAAAGAAGTGTCAAATATGGACTGCTTTGCCAGATACAGAGTCGCCACCTAAATGTTTTTGTTTTGGAAAATTTAGGAAACCCTGACTCGTGCCAAAGGCCACGTGTCCATCATCACCAAAGTTGCCTCAGCTCGGGAACTTGGGTACGAGAAGGGAAGGTCAGGCAAAGAGCACCCCCGCTCGCCCGATCAAAGATTGGCCTTTACTAACATGATATCTTGTTTTTGAAAACACATGCATTCTTATTCCGGTTATTAGCCTAGAATTGCTATGTGATGCGCACAACACACAATTATAAACTAGATCGCCTAAGTTGGAACAAAACATCTCATGTTTGTTTGAAAATGGTTTGAAGGTACTACTCGCAAGTAGGCTAAGACGTGGATTTGCCACCCTCAAGTGGGCTTAGAAAGCATGATTTTGCCACTCTCCAGTGGGCTTAAAATTCGCATTTCAATGAATTGTTCCAATTCAAGTAATCCAACCTTCACCCACAGGCATTCAGGCAGTTAAACACTTAAGCAGTTAGCTTCATGCCAAGCATGCTGTCATGTGAACACTCACACTCATGCAAGATGCTAAAGCATAAAAGCTTACCTAGTACTCTGAGCCAAAACAATAGCTAGTTAGTAATCAATGCATGATCCTAGCTATGTTAAGATGGCTAATGCAACACATGCAAAATGTAACTAGAAATAGGCTCGACTATTCTAAAATGGTATATGAAATGCAACTTGATAATCATGTATTCAAGCAGGAATTGAAACACAATGCAGTTAGTATGATGCGCCGAGCCCGGTGCATGCAAGACAAATGGATAAATGGAAACATGCAAGCATAAGGATGCTAATCAAAACATGACCTAGAACTAACCATCGTAAGTTGTTAAGTAAAAGGGAGAAAGACGTGGGGTTAAAAGACATTCACATACTCACGCACACTTATTACAAAATTCACCCTCTCGACGGAGGGCCCGAATAAATAATACAAACCAACTAATTAATCAACTACCCTAGCTAATTAATTATTACAAAACTCTTAACTAATTAAGCTAATTAATTAAGTTACAAAACAGTTAAAGCAGCCCCAAGAGGAGGGACAAATGCATGCTCGATCGGCTTCGCTCGGAAATCCGTTGCCATGCCCCATGTTGCCTCTGTTTGCAAACTTATGCTCCTCTGAAAACTATTCCAGCTTCTGTGATGTCTTTGAACCACGCCATGGACATGCTAAGAGGCCATCGGCCAAAGAAAAGGTGTTATCGACCACTTTTGAGTCCATCGGCAAAAAATTGTTAGCCGATCGGCACTGAAGATAGCCGATCAGCCATCTCTTCCTGCAGACTGCTCCTTTTGCTGCAGCAGAGGAAAAACAAGGGCATGACAATACATTTGTGAGAAAATGTTGTGCAACTATACCCCTTATCATGTTCGAGACTCAAAGGAGTGTAGTGTTCGACTCTTGAGCCATCAATCACTCATTTCGATGCATGATGGCCAAAGAGGCCGAATTGCACAAATCAATACGGAATGAATGCACAAAACACATGAATGCCTCACACTCTATCATGTTGGATCAAGAGTGTCGGCGACCGAGAATTGAGGCACGTTTCATCACTTCAAGTACGAAATGTCCCTCGGTCCTCGTGTTTGGTTTGACACCCCAAACCAAACACAATGCAATGCATGCAACATGGAAAAGCTATGCAATGCAACATAAGCATGCCAAACGCAATATGACTCAAACATGCACAAAAGGCTAAGGTAACAAGCATGCCAAATGCAATGCAATGCAATCTAAACAAGCAGGTGACAAAATGCAAACTAGCAAGCATGCAACAACATGCAACATGTCAAGCATGCAACAACATGCAATGATGGACTTAAACCAAAATGGGCAGACCTCAGCCATACCCAAATCAGTGGCCAAGATGCAATGGAAATAAAGACAAAAGCACATACAAACATGCATACACTTTGGTTCACAAACAAGGCATGAAGATACCAACTCTTAAGAGCACTTACAGAGTGAAAAGCATGAACATGTGACAATACTATAGGCCTTGAAATTAAGCATGGAATGATGCCAAATCAACCAAGCAAAACAAGTATAGCATGCAAGAAAGCTCAAAGCTTGAAGATAGCAAAAGGACTTACACCAAGGTTATGCAAAACATGAAGCAAATGGCCTAAGCGAACCAAAACAGTCCAAAAGCATACCAAAGTAAGTCTAAACATGCATGGGCCAAAGCCAAAACAAACTAGAACAAAAGTCCAAAACGCATGAGGCATGCAAAGCTAACAAGGGGTGTTACACTACACCTATTACAACCAAGCATGGCATGACTTAACCAATGAAAAACAGAGTTACAGCATGTGAAAATAAGCCCAAAAACCCACTTAGATGGCATTTTAAAAGCCTAAATATGATGGCATGCACAACGTCCCACTTTTAAGGCATAAAACACAAACCTCCCAATGCATGGAAAATGTGACAAATATGAATGCAAGACCACACTATATGGACTGAAATCTCATATGAAATGATGCCAAATCATGAAAATGATCCAAGTAATACATGCTAGTGACTTGGACACCCGAAGCTAACAAGCTAGATTGAACCAAGGTTATACAAAGCATGGCATACATGACCAAGACAACACAAATCAGAGCTTAATCATGGTAAAACAAGGCTAAAAGCTTCTTTGAGTTGAGCCAAAACGTGCAAGAATGATGATC